ACAAAAAAAAACCAAAAAAAAAAAAAAAAAAAAAAAAAAAACACCTATGGAAGGGCTACAAGAGGTTCTAGAATTAATCTTCAAATAAGAAAATGATGTCACCCCAGAACATCACCTTTGCATGTTTCCTTTCTGAAAACTACATTTGATTATATGACTTAAATGACTTAAAAACCAAATCTTCCAGAAACAGGATTTTAACTACTAGGAAGGTACCTCCTATAGATTCATAATAAATGGGTTGAATAGGGGTACTCTAAATAAACTCCTTTTTCAGGATAGGGGAGTTGAGGGTCTTTCTTTGTAGCCCAGGATGGTTCCAAACTCACAATCCTTTTGACTCAGCCACCAAGTGCTAGCATTTCAGGCCTGTGCCACCACACATGGCTCTAACTGAAACTTTAATTTATTAATCTTCTCTCAAATAGTCATTGACTTGACACTTTTCTTCTTTCATCCAAATTGTAGTGGAGGAAGTAGTCTGTTGGTCCAATATAGATCATCTTCTCCGAGTCTGTTCACATTGTTTTGGTCTTATTTCAAACCTGATGTAAGCTGTTCAACCTAAATACTGTCAAAGGTGAATTGCTGTTCTTGAATTTTATTCAGTTTTGCCTCTTTGTGGTGCTGGATCTAACTGAGAGTCTCAGGCGTCCTAAGTGGGCACTCTATCGCTGAGACATACCCCTAGTGAATAGCATCAATTTATGTCCCCCCAAGAAACAAAGGAATTGTGCCAATTGAAATTGTGAGATGACCTGGAGAGATGATGCCTTCCTGAAATTCCAATTATTGGAGAAGCTGAAGCTGAGGGATCACTTGAGTGTAGGAGTTCGAGGCCAGCCTGGGCCACAGAGTAAAATTATGATCTTTTGAGATTGTTAAACATTTGCTCCATATTTTCTAGGCCATAAGATCCATCTTCCACTCCATCTTATTTGTCTCTCTTATGATACATTATGATAAAAAATACTTCTTGGAATCAAAATGATGTACCGTTCTTGCTATTTGCCACTAACACTTTGTAATTTGTTTCCTTTCTGTGGGATAAGCGTTATTCTAGCACGAGGGAGAGTTTGCAAACCCGCTCTCCTTGGAGGCCACATCATGTGAGCAACGACACTGCCTAGTTCCTCTCTGCTATAGGTTAATCATTACCCTGGCGAGAGAGCATATACCAGGTGCCTCCAAATGTTCTTCTTCATTTCATTTGGGGTGGTCCCCAAATCATCCACTGTGTCAAAAGTTAGCAAACACATTTTGCTTCTTTTGCTTCAGCATCGTTTTCACTCATATCAACATGAAATTTAACCTTTTAAAGCCCGTATATCCCATTACTCCTAAAGCAACATTTTACCGGCAGTGGAAAAGTGCATTCTAGTTTTTAAAACTGTTTAAAACATATTTTATTGGAGTGATACCACTGTTTGAAGACATTTTTGGTATGTGTTAAATCTTTTCACTTTTTGATGTCTGGAGAAATACGGGTAAAATTTAAATTTACATACTATCTTCTCCAGTTCAAATTAGTGTGTCAACATATTCTTACGTATTTTAGTGTTTGAAGTAGTTCATGTTTACAAGAAGGTATTTTCTGCTTGCCACTGAAGGAGAGTCGTATTTTATTTGAATAAAGGATACTAATTGAATTTTTCTTAAAAAAGGGAAATTGATTTTATAGCTCTGTCCTTTCTCTTTACTGTCCCACACATGATAGTGTTGGGGAGAAGCTAGAACATCCACTCAGAGGCCTGAGGTGCTACCAGAACAGTGCCAGGATGCTACAGGAAGGAGGTAGAGCCTCAGGAAACGTGAAAGCATCCTCATTACTGTACATAGAAAGGAAACTGATGAAGGACTAAATGTGGTATCGCTTCTGTGGATGCTCTTTGCCACTTTGCTATCATTATGTGCAAATTCCTCATCACCGAAAGGGGGAAAATAATATGCGCCACAGGAGGGCAACGGCCAGAACAGACTGTCTTCAAAAATTCTTCTATCCAGTAAGGAATTATGAAATCACTGCAGAGATACAAGGATGAATACAGGAACGGGTAATAAATGGAAGGGAAATTTTCTGTTGCATATTTTTGTGCTGTTGTTACAGCAATTTTCCTTAGATAAAAAGCACTGAGGATGTACTTTTCAGAAGCGTTTTCCTCACGATGATTGCTGTCTTAGAATGTCATTGCAATTTCTTCCTATTCTTAAGCTAAATTTCCCATTTTCTCTTTTAGGCAAATATCAATATTCCAATGGGAGCCTTCCGACCAGGAGCTGGTCAGCCCCCCAGAAGGAAAGAGTGCACTCCAGAAGCAGAGGAGGTGAGGAAGATAGCTAACAGAGATAAGCAAGGCCTGGTTCTTCCAGAGTCTTCCCAGAGGCGAGGTTTCTCAGTTAGCAGGGACATTCTGGGCCTTCTTTCCATTTCAAGCAGTGTTAAGTGTCTGACAAAGTTGTTTGAAGATGCCAAGCTTGACTTCAGTTGCTGACTGATTTTGTACACAGGTGCTTCGGGGTTAGCGCTAGTCACTTGCTTGGTAAGTTTTTACTCAGGGTCTATGATTAAACGGAGCAGGCTGTGTGTGGCGTGGCTTCTGAGGGGAGATTAACCTCAATGAGAGCCCAGTAAGAAAGCGCATTAAGTTACTTTCAAGATCAGTCATCTTGATCTTCCTTTGAAAAGAAGGCTTTCCACGGGAGTCTGTCTGGTCTCCCTCCTTGTATTTCCCTATTCTCTACTCCCTGCCCAATTCAGATATCACGCAACAGAGACGAAAACGAATAAATGCAGCAAGCAGAAACAAGTGCCCTCCTGAGGGAGGGGGGATTAAAGGTTTAGATAATTTCATTAGTACAAAAATCAGGGCATTTTAAAGGGTAAGGATTTTTATGGCTTTTATATCTGGCCCACTGCCTCAAACTTTCCTAAAATGATATGCATTTTCCTGATCATGATCTTACCTCCTCGGCTTTAGCCTCTGATCAAGAGATTTTTTTTTTTTTTTTTTTTTTTTTTGGTGAGTAAGAAGGGGGAGTATTTGAATAGGATTACCAAATTTTGAAATTTCAGCTACTAATTCTGTCTGGGACTTGGGTCAAGTGCATGAGTTTGTGTTAGTCAAACAGGGTCTCCTCCATCCCTCAGAGGGTTGCTGTCAGGAATGAATGAGTGAAATAATGGACACAGTATAATCTGGTAGGTAATTGATAGATAAGCAGTTCTTTAGAAATCGCCCCGGTTATCCAATGTTAATGAAAGACTCCAGAGCTCCTGTTCTGCTTTTAAGAGAGAGAGGCATGGGGAGTTTAAAGGGATGGCCATGGCACTCTGCCCTCGCCTCCATTAATTTGCTATTGGACATTTTTTCTTCCTCACCTTCCTTTTAAGCTCTCTGTCACTATGACAACAAATACTCAGAAAGTAGCTGTGCGGGGTTCGGGTCTTCTCTTCCATCTGTGGAGCAGGCAGCGTTGGGTTTTTCCCTGCACAACATGAGCCTCTCAGGACACTAGGGAAGCACTTGTCTATCAGTCTGTTTTTGTCCCTAATTTGATGGGTTTGGACACATTGTATAAATGTGCCACTCCTCGTTCTTGGGGTTCAATGGGGAGAGCAGAGAGCTAAGGGACTCGTAGGGCTTGTGGGGCTTGAGGGAAGAAGTGACATCATGGCTCAAATTCTGACTTGGGCCCCAGAATAATTTTCCCGGAGAAACGTCACAAGAGTATTTGGGTATTTTGTCGTAGCTACAAGGTGCATTAAACAGGATTTCTGTGGGTTGGCTTGAGGCCCCAGCTACCTTCAGTGGCATTATAATGAGTGAGGAACTTGAATGTGAATTCACAATTCCTCCCATATCCACATTTATTAGTGTAATCTGTATTTGCATACTAAGAATTGCTCACAATCAGAGACTGAAGATTTGTTGCTGAGCTCCATGCTAACAGAATTATAGTAGAATGTGTGATTTGTAGCACACCATCAGCAACCAGAAGAGCTCACCTCCATCCTAGCCAGTTAGAACCCCAGGTAAACTCAGAAGGTATTTGGATCTTGACATCCTCTAAGAAGTGCACAAAGGGTTGCATCCCATCAAAAACAGACCAGACCTGGAGTCACTGGCTCTCTGATAAGGTCTGTGACCGCTGGCTGTCTCTTGTGTACTTGTGGCTTCTGACCAGCCCTTTGCCTTGCCTACAAACATGGATTGCACCTTCTATACTTGGCTTGGTAGACATAAGCATGCACGGGGTCCCATGGGTCTTCTATCCAAATCCTTTTGCACAAGAAAAGCAGTTGCTTGTTTGAAGTAATCTGAGGGTTCTGGTGAGCTATTTTTAAGTCTCCCAATCACTCTTTAACTCAAATATCATTATTCTCATTATGTTACACATTGGGACTTTCTTTTCAATATTTCCTTTTCATCTTGTCCCTTCCCAAGATCCAAACATATTATTTAATTCTAGTCCCGTCACTTACGAGTTCTGAGGCTTTGAGCAATGTTTTATTTTCCATACCTCAGTCTCAGTGGTGAGGTAGGGATAAAAGCAGATGTGTAGGGTTGGCGTGAGAATTAAATAATTTAGCACATGCACTTAGAACAGCTAGTAATGTTTGCTGATAGCAGTGAGTTTTTAGTTTTGAACTTGAATGAGAAAGTCAAGCTCTATAGCGTTAGTAAGAGCCCGGGGAAAAACTCAGGAGGGTATCTGGTAGTAAAGAATGGCAGGGATGGGGTAGCCTGGAAAGGCTTCTCCATGCTATAGCATTTGGCAACTCCTCTGTGATCCTCAAGGCAGACACTTCCCTTCACAGAACTCTCACCGAAGTGGGGGATGTCGCTGGGGTTGGTAAGGTTTCCCTCATACTCTCTTTGGCTGTATGGAAGAATCAGTAGCCTCTAGCTGTCTGCTGGCTTGAGATATCTGGGAAAAGTGCTATCCTTCATTATTCAAGTAGAAGCCTCTTTATTCATGCTCTAGTTTACTGTAATTCTTATAATAAATTCACAGAAGTAGAGGAATATGATTTCCATTATGTTTTTAAAGGTGGTTGAACTTCAATATAAAAATGCGTCCTGAACAATATCATGCTATCGCATTCTTAATCATGACAATCTCCATTATGTGCCACCTTACTCAATCAAATGTCAAGCCTTATCTTAATAAAAAATGAAAAAAAAAACCCACCCCAGTTCATTGAGGTCTTAATAATGTAAGGAAGATGCCTAGCATTCCTTTATTAATCTGTGTACGTTCACCTTATAAATCCGCCCCAGACACATAAGTGTAGATATTGGCTGTATGTGTTAAATGTGCCAGCAGCGGAGGGGACTCACCTAGGAACTTAACAGAAGGATCTGGAAACGTTTTTCTCTTTGTGCTTCTTTAAGATCTACCCACCTCCAACCTGGGAACATTTCTCAGTGCTGAAGCATTTTTCATTTCACTGCTACACATATTAAAGAAGAAGAAGCAACACTTTATAGCCTTGTTAAAAATCCCTTCCCGAAAGCCCAGCAAAGAACAGTCTGGAGTACCTGGTTCTTCAAGTGGGTGTTTTACAGTTTTAATGACCTTTGGTGTATCAACACTTGTAAGTGATGGATGTGTTTGTGTGGAGAACGGAAACCAGGCTTACGGCTCTGTGCCTGGACCTACGGAAACATTATCTCCCAGGGATTTGCAACAGATACATCCTCCTCGAGTTACTTTATCATTTCGTGGGGGGGGGGGGTGACACATTAGCTATTTAATCAGCACTGTACCAACTGCACAGAAAATAACTACAGGAAGTCCCGTTAGCCCTTACAAGAGGAATAACACCTCACTCTTTTATGCCTACTCATCCTCCCCCAATAAACAATTTAAAAACATATCTATAAGGGACACATCCACTTAGTGATTTGTCAGAGTTCGGGGAAGCTTGGACATTCTTCCTCTAGGTGCTAACCCATTCGAGAAGGAGACACAGGCAGGCACCAGACCTGGACTAACAGCATTAGTTTTAATACGGTCTCCATGGGAGGCAAATGAGCAGTTTCTTATCATTGATATGCATGCTTGCAGTGCGCTCTCTCTCTCTCTCTCTCTCTCTCTCTCTCTCTCTCTCTCGCACACACACACACACAATTGGTTTACCCTATTCTTGGTTGAGCAGATGGATCTATGGACATTTCTGCACTGGGAACTATATTAGTTGGAGTCCTCTAAGAAATAGACATTTAAGGTACAAAGTATTTTTTAGAGAAAACACTTGTATGGAAAGATGGTCGAGAGCTCCAGGAGAGTTGCTGAGGCCTAGATGCAGGGGAAGAAGATAGAAGGGCTTGGTGGGAGAAATACAGACCTCAGTGTGACTCGAAGCCCAGCTCTCCCGCCTAAATTTCTCCTGGGTGGAGTTCCTGTCTGCCAGGTATGCCATCACTTTAGGAATGCTGTTGTACTCAATCATTTGTTGCCAGCAGATCTGGTCAATGTGACCTCTGCATGGTGATGGATGGATTTTACTGACAAGGAGTTAGGGCAGTCACTCAGTTACCCCTGAAGTAATCTGATCCAAGCGATGATACCTTGGCTGTTAGGGTGATCAAATGTTCTCCAATATCTTCCTTTCAGGCAAGTAGGAAGAACAGGCTTAGCATGCAGTTTTCTTCTCTTGTAACTAGATGGAGCTACACACAGTAGCTGATCGCAATGCTTTATAGTCCTTTTCTGTTTGTGCTAGGTGCACACACATAGAGGTGTAGGTTGATTATGGGATAAACCAGTTAAATACAAAGCATCAAGTATACATTCGAGCCTCTGTCCTCAGGTACTCGAGGAGCCACACACACAAAGAAAAGGCTGTATGTCCCTCCCTAGAACTGAGATACCTTTGATGATATGAAATTGAAACTATTCAAAGCAGCAGGCAAAGGTTGGCCTCTGGCCTTCCCTCCCATATTCAGAGATCTTTTCTTTCCTTCTGAGCTTGTTTCCTAAAGGAACCATAGGACAAAAGGCTGACAGGCACCATACTCTGAGCAAACTTTTGCAGACTCATTGGGACTAGCTGTGCACTGACTTTTTACAGATTTCTGCCATCAGGTGTCCGAGGATGCTATGATACTAAATCAGAGTCGCTTTTAGAATATGCTTTCGTGAGAAGCTCAGACCCTTCTAACCGTTGGCAGTGTTTATTAGTTACCAGACACTCAACTATTGCTTAATGTGTCCTAAGACATATGGAAAGGACTTTTCCCTTTACATTATTTTACAGTTCTGTACAAATTGCAGGGAATTTTGTTGAAACTCTAAGGCTATCTGAATAATAGGTACAGGAGAAGGTCCCCATGCTAGAATCACACTCTGACATTTTCTTTTGATATTTGTTTTCCTGCTCTATGCCATGAGCCAGAGATAAAATATCCTGGATTTTGGTTTCTTTCCTTTTTTTTCCAGGGGGCTCCTCCCACTTCGGAGGAAGAGAAGAAGCCAATTCCTGGAGCAAAGAAACTCCCAGGACCTGCTGTCAACCTATCAGAGATCCAGAATATTAAAAGTGAACTGAAATATGTCCCCAAAACGGAACAGTAGTTCAAAGGGGGAAAAGGTGAGTGGAAAACTGGTCTCTTTATCTGAAAATGACCATTATCAAGAGGAGGAAGTTCCACCAGGAGCATTCAATGGAGACAGCATTTTGTGTATGATTTGCAGAGAAAGCCACGCCTTCGGGTTTGTCTTATTCCATCACTGCTTGGAGAACTAGTGGGGCTGTTTGCCCACTGGTCCCTTTCTGACCATTCTTCTAGTTAGGGGAGGTTGAAGTTAGGTGAGGGCAGGCCGTGGCATATGTATTTCCCTATTATACACCATAAAGAACAATGAACTATTGCTTTGGCAAGAGGATCTGACAAACAAGTAGCTGTGCAGATTTGGAAGTGAGAGGAGGCAACACTCTGTGCATTCGGGCCTCAAAAAAGAAAGAGAAAAGAAAGAAAGAAAGACAGACAGACAGAAAAGAAAAGAAAGAAAGAAAAGAAATCACCAGAATATGTGTGAGGCAGACCAAGAAGCCCTGGGTCAGAAGTAAAAAGAATAGGTTCAAAGCTGTGCAGGCTGTTCCAACAAGGCACTTAAAATGCTTATTTTCATTTTAATTGTTCAGTAATGATCCCCTTGTAAGAACACAACCAACTGTCTGTCTGCAGATCTGGTTCCTATTAACTGGAAAAGAAAATTCTGCCAACAGATGGGTTCACCAAGTCATGGCTCTTTCTCCTAGGAGATGCTAGGAGCAAACCTGTCCTTTACCAGCAGTATTAAACACCGGACATGACCTTCTCCATCCCTTAAACACAAGTCTGGAGGAAATCTGCATGGGAACATGCAATAGGCATATTGTCTCATTGGTTGTCCAGTCATTCATTTATCCATCCCTTTAATCAAGACTTAATATTCGTCACTTGCCACTATGTAAAGAACATTATATCCACTCCCCCCACCACCACCCCCAAGACAGGGTCTTAATTCAAAGCTGAACTCTCTGCAACCTAGGCTAGCCTCAAACTCATGGCAATCCTCCTACCTCAGCCTCTCTAGTGCTGGAATTAGAGGCATGGGCCATTATGCTTGGCTCCTATGTTTCTTATAAGCTTCATAATACTGAATTATCACTTTCAATTTTTTTGAGACAGGGTTTCTCTGTGTAACAGCCCTCATTGTCCTGGAATTAGCTGTTGTATGCCAGGCTGGCCTCAAACTCACAACAATCCACCTACCTCTGCCTCCCGAGTGCTGGGATTAAAGGCATGCACCACCACTGCCCGGCTGACCTTCATTCTGCCCTGCTGACCTTCATTCTTGGAGTGAGTCCTAGGGAGACTGATTCTGCCAGCTATCTACTTGTCACAGTGCTTCAAGTCCCACATCTCACCACACCATACATATTGATGGCACACACTCTCCTCACACTGGAGTTGAATATTGACTTTCTAGATAGCACTAACAGGATGTTTGTGAGGCAGTCCATTGGTTGTCCTGATGTCATCTATGGCATACTTACATAGACCTTCTACAGATATTTTCAAACTAGTTTGGTTGAAAAGATTTCCTAGAGAAGAGAGGAGTTGGCCACCCACCACCCTCCCTTCACCCCCTCCTCTCCTCTTTTTTTTTTTTTTTTTTTTTTTTTTTTTTTATTAAGACAGATTCTCACTATATTGCTTTGGTTGGCCTCAAACTTACTATCCTCATGCCTCATCGTATCAAGTGCTGGGATAGGAGAAATGTATCATGATGCTCATCTTAGAATCTGGTTTGAGTTAAAGTAAAATGACAACATGTAGTGTCTTAGCCCCGTTATAAAACGGAAGGAAGGGGTGAGAATGAAACAAATTATATTCCATGGCCACAGTATAAAGCTCAGGGACTTGGACGGGGACAAAGCCACCTGAGTGGGAATTAATCTGGCAGATAACTGCATCAACTTGCTAGTTATAAAATAGTAGAACCAACTAATGACTGAGCATCATGCTCAATTCTGTTTGAGTTGCCAAACTGACATGAAATCTTCAATAGGTTTTTGAGCAAACTGTAGAATTTCTTGCTGAGAAAGACCAGAGAAGGGATATGAACTTTTTGTAGTATTTCCTATTATCATTCAACCAAAATTGTTTAAGCACATGAATCAATCTCTCTCTCTCTCTCTCTCTCTCTCTCTCTCTCTCTCTCTCTCTCTTTCTTTGTCTGTGTTATGTGCATATTTGTGTGTGTTAGGACCAAACAGTTCCTTTAAGGTAGTACTGCAAAAACTTTTAGAACAGAGCAAAACAAGACTCTACAAGTTGTCTATAATATCTCTTATTTTCCCGGTGGTAAAAGAGCTCACTGCTAACAAAACATCAGAGGGGAACAATGGAAATATTAAGGTGGCAACACTACAGCAATTACAAGAAGAGAAATGATTTAGAGGGGTAAAACCTAAGTATTCTACAATTACGCAAAGGAACAAGAGAGCAGCAATTGAAAACCCTGGCACTGACGAAACTCTAGACAGAAAACATTATTCTGAGATCGAAGGCATTCTGCTACTCAGTGTGTCCACAGGCTTTGTGCTGGCAGACTTCACACATTATTATACATATTAAGCTAGGGACTCTGGAAAATTTTTGTCCTCTATCCTTTTTTTTTTTTTTTTTTTTTTTTTTTTGGTTTTTCGAGACTGGGTTTCTCTGTGGTTTTGGGGCCTGTCCTGGAACTAGCTCTTGTAGACCAGGCTGGCCTCGAACTCACAGAGATCCACCTGCCTCTGCCTCCCGAGTGCTGGGATTAAAGGAGCGTACCACCGTTGCCCGACTGCAAATATATTTACTATATACCTATGTAACAAAATGTACAAAATCAAAGACAATTTAATTTTCAGCAACTTGTTGGCTTTAGTTTTCAAAGTGCATTTATGTCTAGACAAGACATATTTGCTAACCAGTCATCCAGAGATATGTCATCTCCCGAAAAGGAGAACATAAGGTACTCATTACTCTTAAATGTTAAACATTCTGCCTCGCTGTCACTTCTGTTTATTCAAGTGCTAATTGTGAGAGCGTTGACAGGAGGGTAAATGGATGGACCCACAAGCTTGATAAGAAGTACACTTAGCACTTAACAACAGACCCCCAAAATGCATGAAGCCGAAGCTGACAGAATTGAGCTGAGCAACAGACATTTAATAAGCATAATAACTGGGGACTTAAATTCCCCATGTGCATTAATAGGTGGGTATGGTGACTCACGTCCATCATCCCAGCACTAAGGAAGCCGAGGAAGGGAGATTGCCATGAATCCAAAGCCATTATGGGCTACACAGTGAGCTCCAGGCCAGCTTCAGAGTAAAACCCTGCCTCAAAGAAATCCCACTTTTAGTAAAAGAGTAATAGGAAATAGAAGATGTGAACAGCAAAGGAAACCAACTAGACTTTATAGGCACACCTAGAGTACTGTGCTGAACACGAGTATGTATCCTTCTCGAGTGCACAAGGAACAGTGTCTACCATGGACTTTTGGTTGAACATAAAACTAGTCTTAATAAATGAATAAGGACTGAAGTCATGCACGATGGATCAAATTATTTAAAATTATGACTCGATAACAGAGTCAAGCTTGGAAAGTCACAAACTTGTGGAACTCCAAAACATATTTCAAAATAACTAATGAATCAACAAAAAATATCACAAAAGAAATGAGAACCCTTTTTAGATTAAAGGAAAAAATCTGCAACTTACTGAAAAGTCTGAGATGCAGTGAAATCAGAGCTTACAGAGAGATCTTCCATGTAGACACGGTTAAAAACAAAGGTCTTACATCAACAACCAAATCAATAATATTTCTGTATTTGGGAAATGTGATTAATATTAATTTGTGAATGGAAACAACCCTGTCAAATGCGAAGAATAATAGGTTTTAAAATCTATATAGACTCTAAAACAAAGCCTGGTGGCTCATGCCTATAATATCAACATTTGGGAGATTGTGAGACTGGAGAATTATTGTGATCTCCTCCAGGTCACCTTGGGCTAAAGAGTGCAAGTCTGCCTTAAAACCCAGAACAAGCAACCAAATTGTATATATATATACCATCCCCCAGGAACCTACAGAAATAATAGAATCTGGGGAGTAAAAGGTAATTGCACCAAACAATGGCCCCCTCTTAGTATGATACTTGGATCTCTTTCCTCTCGCTCTCTACATGGAAATAGGGAGTAGTTTATAGCCAAGCTGCTAACAATATGGTCATAAAGATGTGGTCTTGTTTCCTTCCACATTTGCAAGGTTGGGTTAAATGCCTCTTTTGTTAATTTTATAATGAGTGGAAAACAGTATACCCTGTATGTGGTAGCTTTGCAGCATAGGGGCTGCTTCTAGAAAAGGATATGTAAGCACAATGCCTGAGCTAGGCAATGACTCATGCAGCAAGAACGGGTTCTTTCAGCCTCTTTTGCCTGCCATGCCATCATTCATCGCATTTCGAGTTTTGCATATTGCTTTTCCCACCACACAGTTTATCATAAGAGTGATTTCAGAACCTAGTCCCTCTGCCAGAAAGGGGACTGATTTATTGATTTATGTAGAACTGTATGTTAAAAAAAAAAAGGAAAACAAACCTAAAAGCTTCCCCTAATGTCGTCTCTGTAGTTTGCTGGGCATTTTTCTTTTTTGTCCTCAATTTTGATGTGTTCTCGGCTTTGACCCAATTACATAGGCTCTATTCTCTCTCTAAAGGAAATGGTTGGAGAAGGAGTTTTTTTTTTTTAACTCTTTGGTGAAGCTGCCTCTCTTTTGATTTGTAATTCTCCTTTTGCTACTCTGCACTTGGAGAAAGGGAGTTTCCTCAGTGGTCCTGAACCACATCAGAGTTTTGTTCATTTGTTTTGTTGTCTCGCAAAACTTTTGTGCTAGGACCTGTCTACAACCAGCAGAGAAACAGTTGGCTCAGGACCAGATTCTGCAGATCTGTGTAAGCTGGCATATATCTTTTCCTGGGCCCAAGGGCAATCATGATGGGCACGTGTTTTGCTTTCAGTACTGTAGAATGCTTGTCTCCGTCCTAAGTTGTGG